TACTTAGCTCTCAGTTTGTGGAGGTATCAGTCCATACTTGACTGGCTCCAGGGCAGGGTAGTTCATGGCAGAAGGCAACAGGTTATGGCAGCAGTATATACCAAAAGCAATAAGAGAAAAAAGGGAGGAGCACAGAGAGAAGACTCGTTCTGTCCCTTACATTGTATATAGGCTACACCCAAATTTAGAGTGGGCATAGCACTCACAGCTATAAATCCAGCATTAGATCATGAATCAACCATAAATTCTAGAATCCTGTTCCTATATCCAGTAAACCTGCATAATTTGTGAAAGAACTATCTTTGGTGACTGTATTACTTTTACTGCTTTTTCATAGATTGTCTGACTATTCTTATGTGCTACACTTTATAGGGGCATGTGGGTTTCAGGGGACATCCAGACACAAACCATAACAACCAGAGATGTTGAACCTTATATATATATATATATATATATATATATATATATATATATAAACTTAAACCAGTAAGTTGCTATAAGTCTATGAGTATAAAAAGCAGTGTGTGGATGGTGTGGGATACATACATCTATACAGAATATTCCTTTACTACCAATTTTAAAAGTTCATTTAAAGTTGTTTTTTTGGGAAGGGAGAACTTAGAATTGATCTCAGGACTTTGCACTTGACAAGCGGGTGTTTCTGGGCTGAGCTCCATCCCCAGCCCCATTTGAAACTCTTAACACTCTAGAAAAATCACAGGGACAACTAAACATTTTTAGGGGTTAGTAAATTTGAGGACTGCAAAAGAAACTTTATTGTCAGAAAAAATCGAAAATGTAGGATACACAGTGGCCATGGAGAAGGATTATTGCAACGTAAATAAAAAAGAAATTTTATCTGAGAAAACAATAATATAGATTTGTGACCAGTAGCTTCTCAGAGAGAAATGAAATGGGCAGTTAGAAATACATAGGCTAATTTTAATAGGCTTAGAAATTCTGATTGGTCTTCCAGAGCTTTTGTTGACAATATAACAAGAATAAATTTACAATCTAGTTTGCTTAATTTTTGTTTTATGGAAAAAAAAGATAAGACAAAATTTCATAAAAAAAACAAAATAACTATAGTTAATATGTTGCATATTATTATCTTTAAAGTGGTTGCTTAGGGCACAAAATATGAGTATAAAATCTCTCCAGTTTATTTTAAAACAAAACTTCCTTTTTAATAAACTAACAGACACGAGTAGCATAACTGACTTGCATTTTCCCTTTTCCCTACTCTCTTTTCCCCTTTCCCTCATCTTAGTTCCTTTTTCCTTCTGAGTAATTTCTTCCCATTTCACAATATCTATGTTAGAGTTTAGATCTCATTTAATCTTTCCATTTCTCACACAAGGGAGACATTATATGATGCTTACACATGTTCTATTGTATAAAAATACCACGTATTTTGTTGTTGTTGTTGTTATTGTTGCTAATGTTGTTTATGGACATAACATTTCATTAGAAGACAGCCATGCTCTCTTGTTTATAGATTATGACTGCTCTCATACTATAGCACTGGTTGATACCAGAGCTAAGTATTTATAGTAGAGACTAAACAGCCCCAAAGCTTCCTTGTTTCCCTCCCACTAATGCTAATAAAATATTTACTACCTGGCCAGAAAAAAATGTTTTCTGACACCCTAATGCAGTCTTTATTTTGTAGTATAAAATGTACAACCTTTCTCCTACATTACTCTGAAGGATTACTGGTCTCAAGAATCTCTGCAGTATAGCACATCTTTTCATCCATTCCTCAGTTGATGGGTTATTGGGTTGTTTCCAAGAATTAGCTATTGGATATTGTGCTGTGGTATGCGTTTTCAGTTCTCAGAAGATACCCAGAAGGGGCATAGCTGGGTTGAACGGAACCTCTAATCCTTGATTTTTGAGGAATATCCACAGTGACTTCCACAATGGTTGCACCAGTCTGCACTCCCAACAATAGTGGAGAAAGGATCTTTTGGCTCCGCCAAGTTTGTACTCCTGATTTAATGGATTTTGATATCTCAAATAAGTTAGTGACATTAAAATAGTAAAAATGTTTTCAATTCTGTATGCTTAATAAAACTTCTCTTTAATACAAGTGAGTTCCAAAATGCCTGAGTAGACTTACCAGTGTTTTACCACTTGAATTCCAAATGAACCACTGGCCATTACATGTCTCATATCCAGTTTGTTATTATTTCTTTTAGTCCATCAAATCAAAAGTTTACCATTAACTCAGAGTGCCTGTACCATCCTGCATGCCGCACCCAATGACTAAGAATTCCAGCATTTTCTATCCTCTTCAGCATTGATATTATTGGTTTAGATTCCAATATTTCTAACATGTATGTTCAGATCATTGTCCAATTAATTAAGTTGTTCATTTTTTTCATTGTCAAGTATTCATATTTTTAAAACACACATAGATTTTAAATCACAGCCTCTATTAGACTCTATCCTTTTTCTGCTGTGTAGCATCTCTACTCACCTCACGCATTACCAGGGATTTCCTCAGACCTTGCCAATTCTTTTTGCTTTGTTTGTACATTTGCTGTTACATCAAAATTTATCAATTTGTCCAAGGCCATATGGATTTTCTCCTGCTACCTTCTAGAATTTTATAGTTCTGGGCATTATAATAAGTTTGTGACCCATTTTGAATTAATAAATTTTATGAAAAGTATAAATCTTCTGCCTTATTTTTTATAGAGATTTCCAGTCAAACCAGTCAAATCATTTGTGAAAGAACTATCTTTGGTGACTGTATTACTTTCACTGCTTTTTTATAGATTGGCTGACTATTCTTATGTGCTACATTTTATTTTATTTTTATTTTATGGTTATCCTTTCTATCAGCTGATCCTTGTCCTGATAATTGTGACTGTACAGTCAATCTTGAGGTCCATATGTTTCCTTTAATTTATTCCCTCAAAAATTCAATCACTTGTTCTTGTTTTTTGCCATTCAATATAAACTTGTAAATCAAATGGTAGCATCCAAAAATAACTTTCTGAGATTTTGATTGGGGTTTTATTAAGTTTATAGCTAAATCTGGGAAAGACTAACATCTTGATAATATTGTCTTTTATTTGTGAGTGTACATTAATTCTCTACTTATTTATTTGCTTTTATCAGAATCTTTTGTTTTTCTCCAATAGATTTTATTCATAGTTTATCAATTGTATAATATATGTTTCATTCGGGAGTTGCTAACTTAAAAAGCATTATGTTTTTAACTTTAATTTCTTTTTATTGACGATATATAGGAACAAGTGAAGGTGATTGGCTTTCTGAACTTTATATGTAGCAAACTGTTTAGAATTAATTATCAGTGCAAAGATTTGTGCGACCTACTTTTGGATTTTTCTACTTGGACAATTTTGCAATCTGCAAGAAAATTAGGTTTTATTTCTTTTTTCTCAACATCTATATATTTTACTTTTCTTTCTTATGCCATTGCATCAATAAGGACTGTTGCTGAAAAGTAATGGATACCTTGTTTTTAATCTTCACAGAAAACTTTCTCTATGAAGTATGTTATCTGTTTTGTAGCTCATGAAGATGTTTTTCATCTACTTCAGAGAATCTTTGCTAACTTTAGCTTTCTTAGAGTTGTACATAGTAAGTGACATTGGAACAAGTAATTTTTCATGTTAAAGATAAAATTTTCTAATAGAAATGTAGATATCATCTAGCTAAAAGCATTCACTTTCTTCCAGGATCATGTGCCTTTCTCTTTGAAGAACTATGACTAGAGTAGTCTATGATAGTAAAGTCAGCATACGGGACAGAGGTGGAAATCTACATTTCCACAATTTATGGGACCAAAGGTGATGATATTTTTTCTTGGCTAGACAGACTTTGCAGAGGAAAGTCTTTTTTTTTTTTTTTTCACCATGGGTCAAACTTGTGACACGCACCTGCAAGATAGGCGCTTATGTCACTGAGCTAAATCTCCGGAACCAAGAAGGCCAAATTTAAGTCATCTTGAAAACTTTTCTTTTTGAAATAGTATCCTGGGAGGCAAGATGATCTCAGAAGAAAGGATATTGTTTTCGCCAGATTCAGCTTCTGAGGGAGATGAACCCCAAATTGTGTGACAACCCTTATTCTCTTTTATTGCTTAAAACAGGAATTCAGGGTTCTCAATTCATAGGTGACACCAGATGATTTATATGTGCATTGAAACAAATTTATGATTAGAACACATAAAATGATACTTAAAAGAGAAAATAAATTAATATACAAATATTTTTTTTAAAAAAGTAGAAAAGTAGCCAGCGATATAGCTTAGGCAAAAGCGTCTGCCTGTCAACCTCAAGATTGTGAGTTTGATCCCTTGTACAAAAAAAAAAAAAAAAAAAAAAAAAAAAAAAAAAAAAAAAGCCGAAAAATAGAATCTGAAATACACAATACGGAAAAATGTACAATAGTTTGAAAAAGTTTCATGAACATTCCTATCATTATATTCATCCTGTTCTTAAATTCTTTCTGTAGTACTTAAATATACATTCCAATTTGTATGAACAAAAATATAATCTTTGCCTACAAATAAATACATAATCCAAAATTCTAGTATAATTTTACAATTATAATAATTTTATATAAATCTCTTAGCCCTAGCTTTTCTAATCTTTATTCTTTTATAATGGATTTGACTTAAAATTATTGCTATTTCTATTGTTATTGTCTATTTTCCCCCAAAAGAGCAAATGGTTCATGAGATTAAAAGTATTTCATGTTAAGAAAAAATGGTAAATTGTTCCTCTTCCAAACAGAAGTTCCAGATGTTTGCTTTGCAGCACTCCCACTATCTTGATAGTGTGTGTGATGGTAAACCATTTTTCCAACTTGAATAAAAATGTACCCAGGGGAATTGAGTCAGCACAGTTTTAGGTGTGGCTAAGGGCATTACTGAAGACAAGAACCTGGGTGTGGCTGGCATGGAACAGTAGGCTTGTTCTCTGAATGGAGGAACAAGGCAAGAGGAAGAATGGCTTGTGCATCTTGGAGGAAGTCTGTTCTCTCTTGGAAGTGACCCACTGCTGTCAGTGCACACTCTTCACGCTTCCCTCACAGATTCTCCAGCTCTCCGTTGCAGTCCTTGTATCCTCCTGATAAGGACTCACAAGGGACGCTACAGTGAACTGCAAGCCTTCAACTGGATCCTTCAGGTCAGGGCCCTGAAAGACCCTCTTCCACACTTAATATATAGTGTATATCTTGCCTTAAATATGTTTTTCTCGTATGCATTCACTGATTCAGAGTGAGATCAGTTTCGATCTACTTATTAAAGAAATAGTTTTTCTTTCTCTTTTGCAACTTTTTCCATTTTTCTGAGAGACTTATCCATTATTTTCTTGAATATATGATTTTGGATTTCTCTTGATCATTTAATGCACACAGTGTGTTAAAAGAAGGAACTCTGGCAACAAAAAAACCGAAAGTTCCTTCTGGTAAAATGTTCCAAAAACAGGCACATTTCGAATCTATTATTTAACTGTATTATTTTGCCAGCAGGGAGCTCTAAAAATGCTTACAGAAGATGAAAGTCAAGGAAGACACAGAAATAGATCTTAACAACTAAACTGTTTTCCAGAGGCCCTGATATTAACTGAAATTGTTTATAAGACCAATTTGTGCCTTGGGCATTGTGCTTTTACAGCAAGTAAAAGCAATAAATAACTCAAAAAAGTTTTTTTTTTCTTTTTTTCTAACTCAACTGATTTAGCTCCCTGACTTTCTACTCCTGCTCTTCATTAGATGGTGTAAGCAACCATGTGTTATTCTGGTCTCTACCCAAGCTCTCCATATGGTCAATTTGAGAACAATTTTGTCTTTGTCAAAGAAAAATCAGGGTCATTGAAAAGCAAGGCACAAAAGGGAGAGCATATTTGGCTTTAAATCTGAAGACACAGGTTTCAGAGTCTGATTTCTGATTCTGCTGTTACAGTGCTTTGATTCTGTACAATATTTCTCAGAACATCACTTTTGTTTGCCATGAAAGTTAAATAAAATCAAAGATAAGTTGTATGGAAAATTAAAGAGCATTGTTTTCTTTCTAGTGAGTCTTCCAGTAATTTATAGTCATTGATTATTTTATCTATTATATAAATATAAAAGAGTAATTAACATATAATGATTTCAGGATGCTGAAATCTTAGAAATAACTCCAGTCATTAATGGACAGAAAAACTCCTTTTCTGAAAGTTATTGGTGGTCTTTATGTGTCCCACCTGTAATTTATATGTTATATGTGTCTGTGTGTTATATATCTCTGATTTTATCTTTGTTTATGTTTTTATACTTTAAGGTAATTGTAAGAGATTGGCACTAAGATAAAGTCATAGATTATAAAAGTTACTTAATAAACATTACTCAATGAGCAACATCGACTAGTCTTAGTTGGTGAACACCTAACTGTGTTGCCTTTGTTTTTGCTTATGCTGTTGAGCTATATCCCTGGGCAACTGTACCACTTTAATATTCAGTAAAATATTTAAGTCATTTGCAGCTAATTTTTGGTATTTAAGAACAAACTGTTATGGTTGATATACTGTGTCAACTTGAGAAGTTTAAAAATTTTAACTGAGAGACTCAACAGGGAACCAGGATCCTTACTTTGTAAATATCCTCATCCTGTGTAGGAAGGCACAGGGACTTTGTGAGTGCTACACTCACCCTAGAGTAGGGGGGTGGCCTGAGGACAAAAAAAAAAAGGCAGGAGAAGAGGCTTGTTCTTCTCTTTTTTGTTCTGGCTGCTGCCTTGAAGTGTTGCCCCACTGACATGCCACCCTGACTTACAGCCAGCTAACTATGTACAGAAACCTCCAAGAAAATTTAAGCTAAATAAACCTTTCCTTTTCTAATTTTAGGTGCCAGGTGATTGTTCCAGCAATGAGAGAAAAGTGACTAAGACACAAACCTTTCAAACTGGGCATGGTGGTGCATTCCTGCAATCCTAGCACTCAGTAGGCTGAGGCAGAAGGATTGTTGAGTGCAAGACCAGCCTGGGCTACAAAGTAAATTCAAGGCCAGCCTGTACTGTATAGTGAGATCCAGTGTCAAAACAACAACAACAACAACAAAAGGGAACAAAAGTTGCTGTTGTATATATAATATTAAGTAAGTATCACTACAGTTTTATAGTTTGAGGTTAAGTTTATGCAAAATGCTAAGATTTTATATTTTCTATTCAAAATACTTAAATAAAACCTTAATTAAGCATAGCTAACCCCTACCTACACTTACTAGGAGAATGATATTACTTAAAATTTCTTTTAGTTCATTCTATTTACTTTCATTAAGTGACTAAAAGTCTTTCTTCATAATAAGATTATTTGGGTGTCTCATAATTTTTCATAAAGGAATTGGTGTGGTTTATGTTGAGTAATGGTTTTTTTCACTTAACACAATATTTTATGGTTCATCTCTGATATAAATTTGCATATTTTTGCAAAAGCGTTGCTCTTCTAACTTTATATTTTGCAAATATAATTTCATTGGGGTTGCCATTCTAGGCGAACACTTTTTAAATAATTATGTTTGCGGATTGTAAATTTAACCTTTCTATACAATTTTAAGCATTTATTTATTTATTATTTACTTAATTATCCATCACGGTAAATAAAATCAAAGTCTCTTTTATTCTAAGCCTGTCAAGTGCCACTAAACTCAATCTCAGACTAATTCATTTTGTGTACATCTCATCATTCTCTTTCTGGAATATAGACTAAAAGGACATCAGGTATTTCTTCTTACTCATAATTTCCCTTGATTTTTTTTTTAAACCAGAGCCAAAATAGCCTTTAACCATACCATATTGAAAGCTTGGGTATAGGATAGCATACTATATGCATGTTTAAACAGTTTAATGAAAAAAAAGTACAGGACATTAGGCAGCTAAGTCACTTGAGTTTCTTTTACTTTATCCCTTGATTCTAGAAAATTTGTAGAAACTTTATGTTAAAAAATGTCTTCTTTAGCTAAATGTAATTAGTGTAAATATAACCTAATAGTTTTTAAATATGGGTACTTGTACAACTAATTTCTAGACATTCTGTTTAGAAATTTCAAAATTTATTAACTGCTATCAATCATTTCTTACCTTTTAATCATGTATTTTGTATTTTTAAAATTTGAAATGGAAAACATGAAGATCATGTTCTGCACATTACTATTTCTTATATTGGCAACACTACAATCAGGCCAGATTTTTACTAGTCTCATAGAATGGATTTTCCTTTGCTTTTGATGTGAGATAATGATCTTTGGAATTTTATAGTAATTTTTGAGGCCTAAACAAAATCACATTCATCCAGGAATCACCGTATATGATTTGTGTTTATTAGATATCTAAGGTTACAAACTTATGCATAGTGTGATATGAGGTAATGTGAATCAATTCTCAAATTACACAAGGGAACTGCTGTTAAGAAATACTAGGGGACACAATTTGTTAGGGCTTTATCAGCAACTAAATCGAAGGCAGTAAATTGAGCCGCCCTTGTTTTTTCCTGACAGGGCTTGTTTCTTGCTTATCAACTCATAATATCCTCTTCCTGCTGCCCTATGGTCTGTGCTGGCGTCACTGGTTTCACTTTCTGCATGAATCTAAAGAAGCTCTGCATCAACCACAAATTGTATTGAAGTGGTCATTTAGATGTGGGTACTATTAGCAACATGAATTTTGGTTGTTCTGTAAGTATCGAAGCTACCCACTTCAGTGGAGTAGTGACCACAAACTTAACGCTGACTTCAGGACTGATTTATTTATGCCTCTGAGTTGGCATGTAAATTTTTTTAATTTTCACTCATTTTTCTACCCCTCAAACATTTGTGACATTTTGTTTTTATGAATAAGTGTTTCCAGCATCATACAATGGGAATTTTAAAAAATCATTATCAATTGATATATTATTTAGCTTTCACATTGCTTGGGCAAAATGGGAAACATCCACATTTTAAAAGAAAAGAGGAGTTACTCTTTGTTTTGCTTGCTTTATGTGAATTGTCTTTTCCTTTTTGGTATCTCTATAAATGTGAAGACACTGTATTAAAATAAACTCTTTATACAAACAGTATATATTATATTCCCTGCCTTCAGAAACATGTTTTCCACTGTAATTATGAACTTTGAATTTCATTCCTGTAGATATGTCTGTGTGTATATGTAAATCAATTTAAAGTGGCAGAAAATTCAAATCAATTTATATGAGGAAATTCAGTTAGACTTAAAAAGTAATTTATTTTAATTTGCATACTACACACTTTTACATGTACATACGATGGAAGCTTTCAACCTAGTCAGTTTGCTAATATGTGAAATCAATGTAGCCATTTATTTTAGACATCTACAATACAAACATTCCACATTTTGTCCCATTAACTGACATATTTCTTAAATTTTTGACTATCTTGCTTCAAAAAAATTCATCTACACATATTTCAAATTCACCCAGTAGAATTTCTAAATATCTTTTTGCATGCAAGAGCATAACTACAAGAAAACTTTCATGGTGGTTAATTATACTTTTACTCCAAATAGAAAGACTTTTTTAAATGTAATATAAAAATTATTGTTTACTTACATACTGCTTTTCATAAAAAAATGCCTAAGGCACAGCATGATCCGTTTGTCTTCAAAACGTGAGACACGGAAGGAAGAAACTATTTTCATAGAAATGCATGTCAATTTTCATAAATAAAAATGTATTAGTCCTTGTAAAAGAAAAATGCATCTTGAATAATATCTTTCCTGTAGTTATTTATAAAGTCAGAGAAATCTGACTTATCTGAAGAGAAGCCAGAGAGGAGCTAATTGATATTTTGGTTTGTGGCTTTCCAGGTCTCAGATCTGGGTGACATTTTGTTTGGAATGTGAAGAGAAAATGGGACAAAATTTGAAAATAATACTTTTTTATATTTTACTTAGGATCTAGAAATATGGTTTAATTATTAAATTGAAACAAATATGGTGGTTGTTTTGTCAGAATACTTAAAAATGGATTGAAAAGCCTACTAAAATTAGTATATAGAAGACAGAAAAAATGACAAAAACTGAAGGTGGATGTGGTAGGTCAGGCTTGATTAACTGTGTCAGCTTTAGTTGCATCCATTTATTTATAAATATCGCAATGTGATCATTCTTTATAGCTGAGTAGCACTCCATTGTATAAAAATACCACAGTTTTTTTATCCATTCCTCAGCTGATGGACATTTAGGTTATTTCCAAGATCTGGCTATTACAAATTGTGCTTCTATAAATAGGGACGCACATACCGCACTCTGCTATGATGTTTTCAGTTCTTTTGGGAATATGCCTAGAAGCAGAATAGCTGCATCAACTTGAGACCATACTCATAAGTGAAATAAATCCAACTCACATGTATAAATATCGTATAGTCTCTCTAGTGTAAGAAATGGTAAGAGTACATAAGAGTTTATGGTAATCATGACTCCTCATTGCATTGCTTTAGAGCCTTAAAATGTTCCCATTCATAGTTGGAATGGTTTTATCTCGGATTGTTTGATTTTATTATCTGTGACGGTATGAACAGCTATTTTGAAGAAAACAAGACATTATAATAGCCAGTGATGATTTAATATCATCTTGTTTTGAAGTCCTACCACGCTTTTGTTCTTCTGTTTCCATTGGTTCTATCATGTTACATCTTACTGGATTTTATTATGTATTATAGTATAAACAAATCTTTTATGGACAATGAGATAATATAGTAACCATTTTTCATTTTCTGTTAATCGGTTCTGAATACCCTGTAATACTTCCATTTTCTTTAACGGTTTTATAATATTTTGTTATGTTTGATACTATTGTGTATGAAGGTATACTCAACTATTTCAAAGAAAGAGACATTATGGTAACTACTGATATATCAGGTTGTCTTGTGGTGAAATACTGTGTTGCTTAAATTGTTCTGCTTTGATCTGCTTTGTTATGCCCTCGTTTATCTCAATCTCTTTAAAATAAAATAAAAAAATTAAAAAATAAACTGTGTCAGCTTTATTGGTTTGGAATTTGCTCCAGTTGCTGGTGAAGCCCATTTAAGTGTATATCTGGCATCACAAAGGCCATCTGACATATTTGGGTATGTGTCACTCCTCACCCCTCCCTTACTCCTCTGGCACTGTTTTCCTCTTCTGCTTCCTGGCTGCCAGAAATTGAACACATATATACCCTTTTGCCTGCCCCCGTGCAGTGATATTTTGATGCATATAATGTACTGCATTCTGTTTAAATCAGAGTAAAGCTGTATTTCTTCTGACACTTTTATCTTTTCTTTATAGGGAAAACATTCAGAATATTTCCTTTTTCCTGCTTTGAAACACACAGTATTTTATCCTATACACTTGTACATCAGAATGTCTTACTCGCCTTTATCCATAAATTACTACTAAGTGGGTAATTTTTAGAATAAAGAATCATGCTGTACTTAAATGAGTAAAAATGACTTTTATTGTGGCTCCTTACTTTTAAATCTCGCTTTATAAGCTCACAAATTACAGTAGCATCTCAGATATTAAACTTAATTTTTTCCACAATTCTGGTCACAGAATTTGTTCCAAGATGCTGGTTGCAATGAAGTTTGCAAATCAAAGAAACACTATGTTGTTTATGTAGATTAATGTATTGTTATACCAATGATTTCTTTCAAGTTTAATTGGCCCACCTTTTCCACTGCATATTCTTCCTTCCTGTGGTACAACTATTTATATTTAATAACTTTTTCACATGCCAACGCACAAGAGTTCAAAGCCCTATGTGTGTATTTTTCTTCCTTGGATTAAATATTATTAGTTGTCATAATTGAAGCAGTTTGATAGGAAATATCTCTAGACAAATTCAGTGAGAAAAGTAAAAAACTGCATTAAAAATGTGAGGCAATATATTACAGACCTTGGGGCTAAGGAAGACAACTAATCTGATACTGTATTTGAAATGAGATAGGGATTTGTGGCCACAGAAGCTGGTAGAAATTGTTAAACATTTAGCCAACTGCCAAGACCACACTATGAGTTAGAGCATGTAAATTTGTTAGGCACCGCAAAGACAGAATGTTACTTACTGCACTGCAGATCTTTTCTCCAGAATTACTCCAACACTCTCAAAAAGAATATAAGGCAGAGCCCAAAGCACATTTCCTCACCTGTGGGTATGGAAAGGATCGGCAAGCATGGTCCATATTCATGCTGACATGGCTCTTGGCTAAGCCTGTTGGCCTTGGTGGGCTGCAGAAAAAGACATTTGTGTGAAAGGTCCATTCACATATATCAGTTTATACCACTGGTGTATAAAGTAGCAGACAAATAGTGTAAAGCAGCTTTCAAGAATCTCCTTTTAAAATTTTGAAATTTGGGAGACTATAAGATCATCTCTTCTGGAGCTCAAGGACCCACCCAGAGCCCAGCCCCACTGGGCTGCACTTGGCAGGTTTCAGGCCTGGCCAGAACATGCCCAGTGACCTTCTCCCAAACCAGGAAACTCAGCTGGCTGGGGTAAGTCTGTGCGCCATCTGGAGCCCCGGGGAGACTTTAAGAACATCTCTTCCAGAGCTCAAGTACCTGTCCAGAGCCCAGCCACACTAGGCTGTGCTTGGCAGGTTTCAAGCCTGCCCAGGACACACCAGTGACCGTCTATGAAACCAGGAAACTCAGCAGATGGCTAGGGTAGATCTTACATGCCACCCTGAGCCCTGAGAGACTTTAAGATCATCTCTTCTGGAGCTCAAGGACCCATCCAGAGCCCAGGCACATTAGACTACCCTTGGGAGGTTTTGTGGATGAACTATATTACTCCCAGTGACTTTCTTCAATTATGGGATTTGAGATTAGATAAAGTGAGTTCCATGGCATTGGTTTTCACCGGGGGAGAGCTTTAACCTATCATTCACAGTGGCGAGGTGCCTGCTCAGCTACCTAGAACACTGAAGGTGGCACAGGAGGGCATGAGGGCCTAACAGGACCAGGACCAGCAACTCCCATTCAGTCCCAGAAGCCCAGGGTACATGAGATGATTTCCAAAACATTCAGGGAACAACACTTGAAGCACAGAAATATAGAAAAATGAAAAAGTTAAAGACTAAAATGCAATCTCAAATCTCCAGCCCATTCCAAGAAACCTTAGGAGCAATGTATGTAGAAAAAATATAAGCCATACACCTGAAATACCTGAAATAATAGCATCTGAAATAAAGAACCAACTCTGGGAAGCTTTAAAGGAATTCAAACTAGAAATAAATTCCCAGGTAAAAGAAGAAATGATAAAAGAAATGAAAGAGATGCTGAACATATCTAAAGAAGATACAGTTTAAAAATTCGAGGAGCTAAACAAAAAGATAGAATCCCTGGATGAACAACATAAGAATCAAAAAGAATACATAAAGCAGATGCAAAGAGATATACAGGAAACAAAAAATTCTCTTGAAATTTGTAAAAACCACCTCAATGAAAGTGAAGATAGAATTTTAGACCTCGAAGACTGGATTGCAGCTAGTGAACAGGAAAGGCAAGATCCTTTAAAAATAACAAGGAATCAGAAAATAACAATTCAACAGCTGCAAGATGATGCAAAGAAAAACAACATATGATCGATAGGGATAAATGAAAAAGAAGGGCACAGCATAAAGGATATCAAGAGGATATTTAGAGAAGTAATAGATGAAAATTTCACAAACATGAGAACAGAAACTGACATCAGTATCAGGGAAGCATATTAAACTCCAAATAGTTATAACCGAAGTAAAACTACACCCAGATATATAATAATCACCATCCCAGAAATCCAATATAAGAATAGAATATTGAAAGCTGTCAGAAAGAAAAGATAGATCACCTATAAAGGAAAACCTGTCAGAATCACAGCAGAATTATCAGCACAAATGATAAAGTCAAGAAGAGCATGGAGTGAAGTATTTCAGATCCTAAAAGAAAAGGATTTTCAACCTAGATTGATGTTCCCTGAAAAACTGCACTTCAAAATCAATGGAGAAATAAGATACTTCAATGATAAAAACAGCTGAAGAACTTTGTAATCATCAAGTCAACCCTGCAAAGAATACTGAATGACAGTTTAGATACACTTAGGAAAAAACCAATAAGCAAACCAGACAATTAAACAGAACAGAAAGATAAAGATTCAACACAACAGCAGAACCACAGCATATTAATAATAAACCCACATATAACAGTTATAACCATTAAAGTATATGGTTTCAATGCACCAATTAAAAGAAACAGACCGGTAGAATGGATCAAGAAACAACATCCAACCATATGCTGACTACAAGAAACCATCTAAACCAAAATGATCCTCACAGACTGAAAGTCAAAGGATGGAAAGCAATACTTTATGCAACAGGAATCCAAAAAAAAAAAGCAGTGGTAGCTATTCTGTGTGCAGACAATGTGAATAGCAAACCAAAAATGATCAGAAGAGATAAAGAAGGTCATTACATACTGTTTACTGGAAAACTTCAAGAGGAAGAGATAACAATCTTACAATATATATGCACCAAATTCCAGAGCACTAAGTTATATAAAACAAGTATTAACAGAAATGAAAAACCAAATTGGCAGTAACACAATTATAATAGGAGACCTGAACACGCCATTGATGCCAACAAACAGATCAACCGGACAGAAAATCAGCAAAAAAATAACACAACTGAATCACACCTGTGAACAAATGGACTTGATAGATATATACAGAGTGTTCTATCCAACAACATCAGAATACACATTCTTCTCAGTAGTACATGGGACACTATCTAAAATAGATCATATATTAGCCCACAGAACAAATTTATAATAAATGCAAAAGAGTTGAAATTATCCCTTGCACATTATCAGATCATAGTGCCATGAAATTAGGAATTAATGATAAAAGACACAGCAATAATCCCACAAACACATGGAAACTTAATAACACATTCTTGAGTCATCTGTGGGTCACAGGGGAAATTAAAGAAGAAATTAAGCAATCTGTATTACAAAAATACAAATATAACAATGGAATCTGTGGGATGCAATGAAAGCTGTCCTCAGAGGAAAATTTATTGCACTTAGTTCACATATCAGGAAAACAGAATGAATACAAATAAATAACCTGATGCTACACTTCAAAAAGCTAGAAGAAGCAGAGCAAGATAAGCGCAAAGCCAAAAGAAGGCAAGAAATTATAAAAATCAGAGAGTAAATTAATGCAATGGAGACTAAGAAAACAATCCAAAAATCAATGAATCAAAGAGTTGGTTTTTGAAAGAATAAATAAAATTGATAAGCCCCTAGCCTACCTTATTATAAAAAAGGGAAGAAAAAGCTCAACTTCTTGCAATAAGGAATGAAAAAGGCGAAATCACTACAGATTCTGTAGAAATACAGAAGACCATCAGCACCTATTATGAAAACTTCTACTCTCATTGGCTTGATAACACAGAAGAAATAGATAGATTCCTAGAAACATATGAAGTACCAAAGCTAGTCAAGAAGATGTAAAACTGCTGAATAACCCAATTTCTACTAATGAAATTAATAATGTAATTAAGTCCTTACCTACAAAGAACAGCCCATGCCTAGACAGATTCACTGCACAATTCTACAAGAAATATGAAGAAAACTTAATGCCAATACTCCTCAAACTCTTCAATGAAATCAAAAGGGAAGCAATTCTTCCTAAGTCATTCCTGGAAGCAAATATTACTCTAGGACCAAAACCTGAGAAAGACCCAACTAAAAAAGAGAACTACTGGCCAATCTCCCTAATGAACACAGATGCAAAGATCCTGAATAAAATATTGGCAAATAGGATGCAGCTAATCATTAAGAAGATTATATCCCATGACCAAGTGGGATTGATTCCAGGCATGCAGGGTTGGTTCAACATGTGCAAATCAATAAATGTAATCTACCATATCAATAAAGCCAAAAATAAGAATCAT